ACCACCCGAGGATTCGATCTCATCACACACTGATACTATTGAGAGTCTCTGCCTTCTCTCGGGCACAACTCCCCACCTCCTCCACCCACCACACCTGGCTTACTCAACCTGTGATGCTAAGGAAGGGTTTAAGAAATCTCCTTTATTTCCCTCTTACATCATAAGGACCAAAAGTGTAAAAGTAACTCTCGGTGATTCTTCTTGGTCCAATTGCACATATATTTTGGTTTACGTCTCTTTAATTCAAAGGAACTGGGCAGTGGTGTCTCAGGTATGCCATTAGACCGAGGACTTAGGAAATACGTGTCCTGTCTTACCAAACATCCCTGGCGGTTCTTCCTTTGTATTTAATAAGATGGTAAGATTCCCCAGAGCAGACACTGTGTTAAGATAATGCTTCAAGTGACTTTTAAGGTCTTTTCATAGTTCTCTGCTAGTATGCTTCAGGTCCTGGTCACTCAGGGATGATACTCCCTCTTTCTAAAAAACTCTGGCTGTAAACTCACATAACTGCCTCCTACTTTCATACCACAGAAATCCAGGTGTTTACCTAAGAAAGGTAAATTCCCCAAGGACAAAAATTTGTGTTTACTCTCCAGGGTTCAGCTTCCTTATATTCAGATATCAAGAAAGCTAAAACAACAGAAAACACTGGATAGATATGAGGGACATTTCTTCCAGATTGGGGAAGACTCTGAACCCTAGTCTTGTCATGCCATGTGTGACATACATTGGGCTATTGATAACCATAGTGTCTTTTTTGTTGTTTGTTATTCCTTTTTAGAGACCTAGAAAACACCCCAGTCTCCTTCCACAGGCTCCAGGCTCCTTGATGATCAGTGCTACCACCAATCATGAGTTTCCTTATTTTCGCATCGCTATCTTCCCCACAGGTCACGACTGCCAATGGGGGAGCACGAGGATGGTCTTTCTTTTTCAAACTTATGAAATAAAATAGAGGCCCAAGGGGAGGCCTAAACTTGGACGGTTTCGTGGAGGATGGTGATGGTAATGCAGAAATGGTGACCTGGGTAGGGAAAAGGCCTGGACTAGGAATCGAGAGATCCTTCCACCTCTTGTACTCACTCGTGTGACTCTGGCTAAGTTATTTCTCTTTACTGGGTTTCATTTGCCTCATCTGAGGAAAGTATGCTTTGGGCACAGATGCCTTCGAGCTTCTTTCTGACCCCAAGAATGCTAAGAACCTACCAAGTCTCTCTCATTAGCAGGCATCCTCATGAGCAGCTTCAGTTTACACCTTGTGGGGTCTCATGAATGGTGCCCAAGATTGTTGGAGAACCAGGTCAGGCCACACAGTCAATCTCGGGGCCTGCATAAGCCCGGGGACCCTGCCTTTGCCCTACAGTATCTCCACCAAATTCTGCACGTGGCGGATCTTTCCTTAAATGT